AAACTTTTAAATAGTTGATTTGATATTAACATTGATATATATATATATATATATATATATTTAAATTTATATGATATTTTCAAATTTATATTTTATTCAAAAATAAAATCATTATTGTTTTCTTAAAAACACATAAAATCGTATTATAATATCGACAGAGACAGAGAATAAAATAAAACATTAAAATCGCGATGTGTATCGCTGCATTACGCGAATACTCTTCTAATATGTATATAAAAAAGGTACATTATAGTATAATTGTCTAATATACATACTAATAATGACTTAACAATCATATTAAATTTAATAAATAAAAGAATATATGGTTCATCGGGTTATGTTCGAATAACCATAATCAAATTTCAACTCAATACATATGATTTAAAAATTTTACAACTTAATTAAACATCCGATTGTTTCAAATTAAATTATTTTACATTGGGTTGATCAAATCTTTTAGCACCACTGGTATAAAACCGATGTAAAAAATTGTATTGAATGCTTTTTTTAGTTTTATTAATTAAGGGGATGTTTGGGATTGCTTATTTGAAACAACTTATGTTTTTTTATAAAAAATCTTTATTACCGGTTTGACACCGACATAAACTGTTTATCCAAACACTCAAAAATGCTCATTACCAATATCATATCGTAACAAGTTAAAAATAAGTTATTTTTATAAGCAATTCCAAACACAAATTTAAATTTAGGTGGGGGTTTTCAATAATGTGAGGAAATATTTTAAATAAATGATGTTTTTCAAATGGATTTCCCCAAATATCGTTTTTCAACACCTGCACTTTTTGCATCGTTTTCGTTGGATTCAGCATCTCTCATCAACCTCAAGCATCTCTCCAGTCGACTTCTGCTTGGCTAAACTCGGAACCCTAAATTGAATTTTCCGATATTCCGAATTTCACTTTAATTCATTTTCATCTGTACTATGATGATCCCCAATTTGTACAATACACCCAACAATTCAATTGAAGTATTATTCTAGCGCTCTTGCTGCATACATAAACAAGCTGTGTGTAGGTACCTGAAGGAGCTCCTACATTTACAAGTAATTTTGACCTAACTTCTAAATCTAGTTGATTTTTTTTAATTCAATTTTGCTTGCATTACGTGTGGTTTGTGTAATGCTTGTTTTATTTGATGTATTTTTGTTCTTTGAGATCGAATTGTTCGACACTGATTTTAACTGAATGTATTAGTTTTGGTTTGTTTGTTTTGTTGGCCAAGTTTTATCATTCAATCTGTTTACAAATTATGAACATAAAGCAAATATAACTTATACCTATGTATTCCGTAATAACTTTGAACTAGACTGCATTACATTCACTTCACATTTGACAAAGGATGACAAGAAAGAACGACTGCTTCATCTTGCTTTCTCCTTCCATCTCTACAGTGGCTTCTATATTCGGTAGTCTTTCTTTGTTGTTTATTTGCAGCTATGAGTAATGGTGGTTCCTAGTTGATTAGTTTAGGTTGTTTGTTACTTCTTTGAAATGGAAAATACCATTTTTCAAGTTATATAACTTATCTTATGTGGTTATTAGGCTTGTTTGATGGAGGATTGTATGGATCATAGCTCTGGAGAAGACACTGACGGAGATGATTCTGAAGTAGAGGAATATGAAGAGAAATCTTATGAGGAGCTCAAGGGAGGGAAATACCGGGTCAAATTATCTGATGAAACTTTTGCTTGCCCTTATTGTACTAATAAGAAAAAGCGTGATTACCAGTACAAAGAATTGTTGCAGCATGCTACTATGGTGGGAAAAAGTGATTCACAAAAGCGCAGTTTGAGAGACAAAGCAAATCATTTAGCATTGGTCAAGTATCTTGAGAAAGATATTTTCCAACAAGATACAGCTAAAGCCTCTGGTCCATCACAATCTACAGATGAAGTTGATCACCTTGCAGAGCATGATGGCGATGAGATGTTTGTATGGCCATGGAAGGGGATTTTTGTTAACATTCCCACCAGGTTGGAGGAGGGACGTTATGTGGGGAAAAGTGGTTCAACTATGAGGGACTATTTGACTACGAGAGGTTTCAATCCCACCAGGGTGCTTCCTTTGTGGAATTTCCGTGGTCATTCAGGATGTGCTGTTGTTGAATTTAGAAAAGATTGGGCTGGATTTAATAATGCCATGTCATTTGAGAAGGCTTATGAGGCTGATCATCAGGGTGAAAGGGACTGGAAGGTCGATAAAGATCCAAAGTCTGGTATTTATGGTTGGGTTGCTCGCTCCAAAGATTATAGAGCCGACAATATCATTGGAGAGCATCTTCGCAAAGTTGGAGATCTTAGGACTGTTGCTGATATAATGGCAGAAGAAGAACGCAAGACAGGTAAGCTAATGTCAACTTTGACAAATGTAATTGAAGTGAAAAAGAGGCACTTGGAAGAGATGCAGAGCAAATTTGTGGAGACAGAAAACTCTCTTAGCAAGCTAATTGCTGAAAAAGATAAGCTTCATCAGCATTATAACGAAGGTTTGTGCTGATTTCGGTGTTGTTTAATTGTTTGCTCTTACTTATAACAGCTAAAGAATTCCATAATATAGTTTGGTCTGACCAAAAGCCTTATAACCTCTTTGGCCGTTGTCTAGAAAAGATTTTAACTTCTGACTTTATTCAACTTAAAAGGCTAGTGATATCTGTTGACACTGTTCATACAGAGTTGCATTCATCTGTTTGATCCTCTCAGACACACTCCATTTTAGCTACTATAGAGTTTATGTGATATAACTAGTTACCAAACTTGTTTCTCCTTTCTATTTATCAGAGATCAAGAAAATTGGGAATGGTGCAAGAGAACATTTCCAGAGGATCTTAAATGATCATGAAAAGATTAAACTACAATTGGAAAGCGAAAAAAGAGAACTCGAGCTTCGAGGCCATGAACTGGAGAAACGCGAAGTGCTTAATGAAAATGAACAAAAAAGGCTATCTGATGAGATTGAAGAGGTGCGACACTTCATGCATGGCTGTTTGTGTATAGTTTGTTGTCATTTTTGGCTGTTCTCTCATGTAGTATTGACAATCATTGAAATTTTGAATCACCCTACAAGAATGGTCATGCTTCTGGTGTAAAGCAATTTATTGCATACCACTTGGTAAAAGATAATCCTTGTCTAATGAGTCAATGAATCATGCAAAAATACTCTATATTGGTAAAATCCTACATGTTTACCAGCAAGTTTTCACAAATTATATATTTTTTGTGAGAATCAACCACACTACATTTTCATCAAGTCATGGGCTGATAGTGAGTTGATGATGATGGTTACTTGGTTAGCACCATGGCTTTAGTGACTGGCTGCTTAGTTTTTTCCAGAGCTGGAGTCTTTGGTTAAATTCATAAATGTTCGATTAAAGTTATTTCCTTTGTTCTGCCAGAATGCTGCAAAGAATAGTGTGCTTCAGATGGCATCCGATGAGCAAAGGAAAGCTGATGAAAGTGTGATGAAACTCGCAGACGATCAGAAGGTTAGTATTTATGTATTTTGAAATTATTATCGAATTTTGATTGCAATATTTCATTGTCGAGATCATTTTTTGTACCAACTCCAGAGGGAAAAGGAAGAACTTCACAAGAAAATTATTTTGCTCGAGAAACAACTGGATGCAAAACAAGCAGCAGTGCTAGAAATAGAACGTTTGAGGGGGCAATTAAATGTTATGAAGCACATGGGGGACGATGATAAGGAGGTTTTGAAGAAGGTGGAGGACATACACAAAAACTTGAGAGAAAAGGAGGAAGAGCTCGAGGATTTGGAAAGCCTGAATCAAACTCTGGTTGTTCAGGAACGCAAAAGCAACGATGAGCTGCAAGATGCTCGTAAAGAATTAATTGAGGTGAGTGTCTTTTAAGTTTATATCTCTAGACATGTTCCTGCTTATATTCACTACACAGAATTAGGTTTATAGGTAGCCAAAAATATGTAAGTGTCCTAATAGATTGTTTTATAGGACATAAGTTTATAGGCACAAACAATGGAGCATTCTGTGTAAAAGTGTTAGAATGAGTTAATTGGACACTTTTGGGAGCCTTGAAAAGTTTTTTATAACAACTTCAAAATAAAAGGTTCTACTAATTTTCTATATGATACTTTTTTGAAAAAAGTGTCTTGTAAAAACAAGTGTCTTACAAGATGTGTTCATGGAAGACTTCTCAAAAGTGTCCTATTATTATTCCAAAAGTATCCTAAAAAGCTTGTCGAGACGCCTGAAAATATCATGCAAACTTATTCTAACACCTTTACATAGGAGGCATAATTGTTTGCTTCTATACACAAGTCCTCAAAGCAGCCTATTAGGATACTTAGACATTTTTTATGTCCTATAAATCTGATTTAGTTTTAGTGATTGCTGATGAATATCATCCCTTATTTTGCAAGGTTGTAAATGCATTTGAAAATTTACTATATCATGCATAGGGATTGAAGGAACTATCAAAAACATCACATATTGGTGTGAAGAGGATGGGAGAGCTCGAGAACAAACCGTTTATTGATGTCATGAAGAGGAAGTATAACGGGCCAGAAGCAGAAGACAGGGCTTCGGAATTGTGCTCGTTGTGGGAAGAGTACCTTCGAGATCCGAATTGGCATCCTTTTAGAGTTATCACTGTCAATGGAACATCTCAGGTATGCATTTGATAGATATGGCAACAACAGGTTATAATAACTAATAGATACGCTGGTTATACCCGTGTTTGATTATCACACTTTTACATAAGCTGGGGTCTTCACAGAAACAACCGTTTTACTTCTACCTCTTGGGGTCGAGGATAGGTCTACCTACATTCCACCTCACTAGACTCTACTTTTCGAGTCTGATACATTGGATTCAATTGGTTTGGTTATTCTAAAATAACTTTTACATTTGATGTGATATTTTTCTAAGTAATCAAAAATTACAATCATTTAACAACCTGATATCCACGCCATTAATAGCTATAAGATCTATCGGTTGTCTGTCAAAATGGGTATGAAATAGGAAGAATTGAACTTTTGTTACACAAAAATTCATTCATTGTTACACTAAATAGAAACCAAGGCCAATTTTGTTGCATTTTGATAGTATTTTAGCCTTTCAAAAATTGCAATTTATATAATGTTTGATATCATGTCTCAGCAATCTGATAGAAGTCTGATATCATGTGTGTAGGGAGTGATAGACGAAAATGACGAAAAATTGAATAGCCTAAGGAGAGACTTGGGGGAAGATGTTTACAAAGCTGTAGCGACTGCATTGACCGAGATCAACGATTACAATCCTAGCGGAAGATACATCACAACGGAGCTCTGGAACTTCAACGAGGGAAGGAAAGCAACGTTGAAGGAAGGAGTTTCGTATCTTCTAAAGATGTGGGACGTCCAAAAACGCAAGCGGGTCATGTGACCATTTCAACCCGCCATAGAACAATGCACGAGCCTTTGTTCGTGGATATCGGTGGGATTATACTTGTTTCGGGCTTTCTTCATGGTGCTACAAACTTCATTTTAGTCTAGTTATTGGAATTTATAAATGGATATAAAATCAAATTGACAACATTTAGACCTTTTTATGACATTCTTTCCAACATTCCTTAAGGTGTATCAATAATCTTCGATTTAGATCGCACTTTTAGCTTTTGCAATCGATTATACGTTGTGGTGAGGTGTGTAGATGAACGATGTATGGGTCGTGAGAGCTCGTGGAAAAGCTTGGTGAACCCAAATACGTAGTTTGAGCTAAATTGAGTTGGATCGTGTAACTATGACTCGTGAGAGCTCAAGTCTACCTGTGCTCATTGCTCTTGATGTTTTCGTCACGCCTATTCGACATCAATGGTGAGATTCACCTAACATGTTACCAACACCCCTTTCGTCATGGATTCTTCATTCTCGACAAGGCTTGCCACAACATCTTGATGTTAAAGGAGCGGTTTTGATATTAGTTATAATGTTCCAGCAGTGGCGGATTCAGTAGTTTTGGTGGTTGAGGTCGGCTTTTATACAAGTAAATTCTTTATCTGTTGTTACCCTATACTCAAACCAATTGTTGATTTGATACTGAATTGATTATTTAAAGAAAGATCAATCAAATAAATTTTCATAGGTATCGAACAAGTAGAGCTAGATTGCAGAATACCACCATTGTGTTGATATTTTCCTTTATTGAAATTGTTCCCTTTTTTCTAGTGAAATAATAAGACGAGTTATATTTATGTAAACTATAACCTATCACTCTAAAGATATATATATATATATATATATATATATATATATATATATATATATATAACTTTAATTATTTAACACATTAACATCAAGGTGAAGAATCATGTGAGAAGTAGAGTTAAGGTGAGAACCTTTGATCATCTTTAATCTCAGTCCCACCCATGAAGTGCTTGATAAGGGGATTGATCTGGTGCAACTCGGTGCATCTAATCCTAATGTGCATCCAGGGATGTGAATCTCTTCTTACGCTTCTTACTATAACTCTACTTCTCACCCGAACCCGAACCCAAACCCAAACCCAAACCCAAACCCAAACCCAAACCCAAACCTTAACATCAAAACCTAACTTTACAAACATATAAACACTCAATATTTATAAAACCTTAACTTTAAAGAATTAATATCAAATTTTAAGGAGGTATTTGATTTGCAGAATTGTTTTTGAGAGATTTGGATTGTAATGGATTTGAAATTATCGGTGTATTTGGTTTGTAGGATTTGTAAAGGAATTGGATTTCATTATTTATAAATAAATTATAAAAATAATTAAATTACATTTTCATTAACCAATTATTACAAAACAAAATTTTAAATTTTCAAAACCTTATTTCATACAATTCTACGAAATCTCATGAAATTCTAAGCACCTCCTAAGGATTACAAAATCCGATATTTGTAGGATTTCAATTAAATCCTAGGATTTCATTAGAATTTCAAATCCGGATAATTCAATAAACCAAACATGGGATTGGAATGAATTTGAAATCCAAATTACCCCAAATCCATTTCATTCTTGCAAACCAAATGAGACCTAGTCAAAGAGTCAATAGAATGGATTTGATTTGCAGGAATAAAATGGTCTTGAGGGGATTTGGATTTTAAATCCATATCAATCTCATGTTTGATTTGTTGGATTGTTCGGATTTGAAATCCTACAAACATAAGATTTTGAAATCCTAGGGGTGCTCGGGATTTCGTAGGATTGTATGAAATAAGATTTTAAAAAATGTTAAAAACATTTATTTTGTAATAATCGATTAATAAAAATGAACTTCAATTATTTTTTGTAATTTTTATTAATAATGAAATCCGATTTCATTCCAAATCCTACAAACCAAACACACCAATGATTTCAAATCCATTTCAATTCAAATTCTTTTAAATCCAAATCCCTTAAAAACAATCATACAATCTAAACATACCCTAAGTATTTCTTTATTAAAAGACTTACATATGAATAATTAAAAATGTAACAAATAATAAATAAACTAAAAACTAGGCTAAAAGAGTTACTTAAATATGGTACTCAAGGACAAAAAAGCAAAAAGAAAAAAGTGGAAGTCTGGGGCCAAGAGGAGGCTTAAATGAGGTTAAATGAATTGGGTAAAAAACTGCCTAAGGCATTTTCTATTTTAAGATAGGTGTTTGGTACGTAAATGTTGGGTCACCTATTGATTTGGTGATGACCCACTGATCTGTTCCTCTACCTTAGCAA